TCCACTGGGCCCCTGAGGGCTCCCTGCAGGGACACCTGACTAATCCTGCCACTAGCACTTCATATAACCTTGGTCATGTGACTTAATCTCTTTGAGCCTGTTTCCTCATCTGTGGAGTGGAGAGACTATTTTGTCTGTCTCACCATACTGATGTGACAATTAGACTTGGTCCCTAAGTAACACAGGTAAGTTCCTTTGGGAGCAGCTGAACCTGGTGGCTCTATTTAATGACAGGACATGGAGCAGAGGCTGGCTGTGGGGAGCATGTGACTGGTGTCTTTACTGAACTGTTAGTCCGCATGGTAGAAATAAAGGAATCTTCCACTTTTAGCCATATGAGTCCATCAAAGACAACCCAAAGACCCTGCACAACGCAGTTGTCTGAGATTTTCAGCCCCTGGGGGGCAGGAAAGTTGATCCTTCCCTGATCACTCAACTATCTGGAACCTACACACAGCAGAAACTTACTAAGGTATCTGTTGGATGAATGATCACATGGGTAGATCTTACTATTTCCCACCTCGCAGAGCTGTGAGGTGCTGAACCCGCAGTCCAGACACCAATAGTGGGCTCTGCTTTTTCACACCTACTCTACCAGGTAGGTCCTGTAGCCCCAGGGGAAACTAAGTCTTAGAAGCCCAGTACCCTGCCCAAAGAGACTCAGCTATGTGGGAGCAGGCAGGTACTGGAATTCCAGTTTTATGTCACTCCAAGTCTCTTGTTTTCTCTGCCACCTGTCTTCCACGTAATTAAGTGATAATGAATTCATTTCTCCATTGTTGTTATTTATCAAAGCCATATGTAGCTGTCAATCAGAGTGGCTGTTGGAGGAATGAAAGAGTCTCATGCCTGGTCCCCAGTCCTCTGTCCTAAAGCCTGGCAGCTCTGTCTGTCTGGGGTAAGGGGAGGCAGCCAGTTGCTGGTACTACTTCAGTGTCAGCCCTGAGGACCACCACCAGGGCCCTACAAGGCTCCTACAGGGCAACGGGGAACAGGGGATGACGGTGACAGCATCTTGAAAAGTACTATGTGTCAAGCTCTGGCTCAGCACTTCACAGCTCTTCAAGGTGGGAAATACTTCATGCCTGTTCCAGGGTGAGGAAGGAGGCTCAGGAAGGTTTACGTGACTTGCTGCAGGGCTAGTGTTGGGACTTGAACCCAGGACTGCAGACTCCAAAGGTCCCACCCTAAACCACTGAGGGGAAGGTGGAGTAGCTTCAGGAGCTTGTGAAGGCAAGTGTGGGCCAGAAGGCAGGGAAGCCTGTGGGTCTGATGTAAGGGGTCATGAGACAGTTGGGGGAGGGGGAGTGGCTGGGACAGGGCCACTGCAGCCAGGCAGAAGGAACTAGGGCACCGTCCTCAGATTCCACAACAGGTTCGCAATTACACAGGGCTTCCTGCTCTTTCCGCTGGTCTCAGGTTACAGAACCCTTCTGTGACCAGCCTAAGGGTGGGCATCCCTGAGGGCCTGTGAGACTGACCTAGGCTTCTTTGTCTGGAGAGTTCTAGAAACAGGCCTGGATGGATGGGCAGAGAGAGGCGGTTAGAGGTGATGGGTTTAGCTTGAGGCCACATGAGAGGAACTGAGTCTAGTCTCCCTGATGCAAAACCTCTCTGTGCCTGGCAGCAGGCTAGAAGTCAATATATGTCACCGCCCAGCCCCAGGCTGAGAGGCAGGGGTCACTATCCTTACTGTACACACAAGGAAGCTCTGGTTCAGCTGCTGAAAAACCTCCCATGACTCTGAGCCAGTCACTACACCACCTGGGCCTCAGTTTCCTCCTCTGTAAAGTGGGGAGAGAGGCTGGAGTCAGCCAAGGTCTCTCCCCATCATGGAGATCAGTGATGGCAGAGCGCTTGTCTGTCTTTCCTCTAAGCCTCGTGTTCTCCCTACACTGCCATCCTCAGGCCACATTTCCTGAATCCACACTGAATGGATGGAGCAGAAGACTGGAAGGCAGTTCTGACATCTGTGAGGGCTCAGGACCCCTCAGAATTAAGGAGGTCAGAGCTGAAAGGCCTTTGGGCATCATCACACACAGTTTTCTCTTATAGATGGGTAGACTGAGGCCAGGAGAGCAAGCGGGCTAGGAGGGAAGCCCAGCTCCTTAGCTTTGGTATCCAAGAGGAGGCCAAGCCCTGGTCATCTGCCCGTGTCTCCTGCATCTGGCTCTGGGCTGGTTTCTTGGGGGGCAGGGGGAGGCAGGCTCTCTTCCTCCCTGCCCCCTGCTCTCAACAGAGACCTGGCCACTATGTCCTGGCTGCAATCCCCAGGCCCTGCTGGGGCTCAGGAGGCTGCAGCCCATTTGCTCAGTGGCTTCAGAACAGGGGTTTTGTGCTCCACGAAAGCCTGTCTGTTGACTGTTCACAGCCGGGACTCAGCTGGCGGGGCTCAGCGGGCACAGTAAAGCCTTGTTTTCTTGAGTACAAAAGCAGCAGCTCTCCACTCTGGCCAGGGCCCCCAGTGGGTGGCACTTCCTTCCTAGAGGTCCAGTTTCCTGGCCCCTTCTGCCCCCTCATCTGTCCCAACACCTCAGCCAGCAGCACTGGTGCCAAGAGGTGACTTGTAGGAGTTCAGCTCCCCTAATCGCCATCAAAGTACCCCTTGTCAAACTAGCCCCCAAAACAGCCTGTGTAAAAAGTGTTTGCTTTGCAAACACAGCTTCAAGACAATTACCCCCCACTAACCAAACTGCAGCCTCCCAAGCCTGCTCATTTGGGGTGTCTGGGTTCCCCAAAACAGCTCCATCTATTTTAGGGTATGGTAGGGATAATGGAGGGCTCTGGGGAAAAGGAAAGACCCGCTGATGGCAGGGCATGATGGGGAAAAAAAAGCTGCGCACATGGAAGCAGGTGTCGTGATACTGACAGAGATGTCTACGATGGAAATCCCAGAAGGAAAGAACGTGGGTTTTAAGAGTCACAGACCTGGGTTCGAATCCTGACCCTCACCGTTTCTAGTAAGTTTTCTTGGTAAGTTATGTTACACGTCTGTGTCCTGGCTTTTCATCTGCACAAGGGTGATAAAATAGTCCCTGTCATGGGCTCTGTGGGAGAGCTCCACAAGTTCCTAAGATCTCATCCTATCAATGAAGGGATGTCTGTTTGGAATAGTCTCTGGACTCCCCCACAGGGCAGCCTAAGGGAAGTCACAGCAGTAAAGCCATAGCTGCCCCTGGGCTCAAAAGCACTCTTGGTGTCTGCAATTCCTAGAACATGGGGCTTCAGCTCTCCAGCCTGGCCAGTATGGCCGGGAAGAAACTTTATAAGAACTCCTACCCACCCTGAGTCAGAGGTAGGCTCTTTGGACCCTGGGACCTCCATGCAGAGATTCAGAAGGTGAGGTCAAAGAAAAGTTTGGGGCTTCCAACCCCCATCAAGCCTCCTCCCCTGCATCAGGACCAAACGCAGAAGCTAGAGATGCAGCACCAGGGCAAGGTAGGAAGACCCTTCTCAAGCTGTGGGCTTGTGAAACGCCCCCTTCCTGGGCTTCCTGCTTGGTGTCTGGGAACTGTTAGCTGTGTGTGGCTGGTGCTCATACCTCTCTCCTGCTCCCCTCAACCATGGGTGCCTGTGCAAGGTGGGTAGACCTCTACCTGCCTCCCCCACCCAACACTCAACCTCCAGATGGTTCTAACCCCTTCTGGTGCACTCCAGAATGGTACCTGTGGTCTGTTCCCTCTCCAGGAGCCATGGGGCAGGAACAGGCAACAGAAGGTGGAGAAGGCTACCAAAGGGAGGAGGAGGACTGGCACCTTTCACTGTCCCTTGGGCACCAAGATGGCTGGGTTAGAGGGACTGCCATGTCAGTACCAATAGGGTGGATCCAGGGACAGGCCAGAAGGGAACTGGAGTCCTTTCTGTCTAGTTCTTCCCCAGAGACATTTAAGTTTTGTCTTGGAGTTGGGTTGGGGTAGGAAGGCTGAGCCCGCAGGCCTGGGGGATCCCCTCTCACCTGGTGAGGTCATGGCACATGTAATCACAGGGAATTAAGGGTAGGGCCATGAGTACCTGGGCACATCAAATAGTGAAGGAGTCCCTTTTCTTCCTGGAGTGGGTGTCAGGCACCAAGAGTCCTATGGAGGGCGGGGAGGACCCTTGTGGGGGTCATGGGGTTTCTGCGCAGCTGCTGGGTGCAGGGGCAGGGAGGGCAAGAAGAGTAGCGACTCAGTGCATGGAGGGAGGACTGAGCCCAGAGTGGATGATGGGGGGGTGCAGTCTCCATGTCTGGACCATGGGGGCCAGGGACTGAAGGGCTCATTCCTGGGAAGATCACTTGAGAATGGAGAATTTGGGGTAACAGAAGCAGGAGAAAGGGTAGAAGGGGTTGAAGAATTTTTACCCATAGTTTGCTAGTAAATGCTGAATAACTGGGGGGGGGGTGACCCTGACTGGGACCCATCTTTGGGGGGGAGCTCAGAAATAAGCAGAGGAAGTGAAAGAAGCTGATGAAAGGGATGTGTCTGGCATGGGTGCAGGGCATGTCTCTTTGAGAGGCACTGGGACCGCATGTCTCTGTCCAGGGTGTGCTGGGTGGGGGTGGGGAACTGAGTAGCTGGGATGGGGGGAGAAAGGGAGGTCACTGGTCCTCAGTCCCAGTGTGGGGATGGGGGGTGGTGGGCAGACCGTCACTAACAGTGAGGCGAGGGATCTGGGCCAGAGACCCAGTCAGGCACACACATGTGGTGGGCTCACCAGGGCCCGTGATTATCTGGAAGGACCCTCGGGCTCTCTGACATGTGGGGGCCTCTAGCGGACTGGGGGCATCGCTGTGAGGAAAGGTCACGTGCCAGGGCCCGGGGTTCCCCAAACCCACATGCGTGGTGGGGTGGCGTGTCTGGAAGAGGCCACAGAGTCCCCAACTCTGGTGTGTAGAGGTTCAGGGGAGCTTGGCTAGTGGCGGGGGTGGTCCCAGAGCGGCGCGGGATCGGGGATCGGACCCAAGGCCGGGTCGCGGGGTGCCGGGTGCCAGGGACCGGGGTGGGCGGGCGGACACTCACTGCTTGAACATCTTCTCCATGTCCTTGATCTGCTTCCTGGAGAACTCCTTGAACTCGGTGTAGGGGTTGAAGACGCGGCGGCTGGGCGACTGGGGCTCGCCGATGCCCTGGTTGAGGTCTGCGCGCCGCAGCAGCTTGGCGCTCAGCTCGCCGTCCGCGCTGCCCAGCGCCTCGGCCACCTCGTCGGGTGCCGCCGCCCCCGCCGCGCCGTTGAAGCCGGGCTGCTCCGCGGCCTCGCCGCCGCCCTCGCCCTCCATCTGCAGCCGCCGGCTCAGCTTGGTGGCCAGCTCGTCCGTGGCCATGGTGGCCCGCGCGGCGCTCGCCTCGGCCCGGCCCCTGCTCGCTGCGCGCCGCGCACTGCCGCGGGCCGCGCTCTTCCTCTTCCTGACACTCCCCGGCGCCAGGCGCCGCCCCCGAAGGTGGGACTTAGGGGACCGCCTGCTCCAGCTCCCACCCCGCCCCTGGCCCCGGCCGGATCTGCCTGCTCCCGGCGCTGGGCTGCTCTCCGTGGCCTGGGGTCAAGTGCGCCGCGCGTCCGAGCCCGCGGTCTTCGCCCCGCGTGAGGCTAGGGGGTCCCGGGAAAAGCCATCTTCCTTCTACGTCTTTAGGATGGCAGCTGAGCCCAGAGGGACGCGGGTGGGAGCGCTGCGGCGGGAGGGAAGAGGGTTTACTCGACCGCAGTTTGGGTGTGGGTCGGAGTCTAGGGGGTTGGGTAGGGGGGCCCCCTTCTCTGGAATCCCCACGCCGTGAAGTCACAGTCCTGTGCCTGTGGCACCCTGTCGGTTGCCATGGAGACGACTGGTTGGGAAACACGGGCTTTCTCCTTGAGGTTGCAGGGGTCTGGAGAAGGTGGACCCCGGGTCAGGAGCCCAGTTTAGATGCACCTGGGCCCGAGAGAGCGGCTGGCTTCTTTCGGAAAAGGCTGGACCAGCAGCACTGAGGGGGACAGGGCCACCCCTAGTCCTGGAAGGTCCTCAAAGACCAGGAGAGGGAAAGGGGAAGGGGCTGTCCTCTCTTCCTGGGGCACACCGTCACATGGATGATTCAGCAGAATAGCTGCTGGACCAAGTTGTCACCTGTGACTCTACTTTCGGGGATTGACAAATTCTCCATGTTGCCGTTTTGATGGTGGCCCCATTGGAGAGACGTCCTCCCTATGAGGAGGGGACTGGGGCGGGTTTTAGAGAGGATGTATCTCCGTGGGCTGGTCTATTTTAGACCTTAATACTGCAAAGCTCTGGAGCTCCAGCCTCAGAACCATGGGGACACCGGTTATAATGCCTATCCCCAGGCTCAAGTCCAGATGTACAAACTTGGTTTCTGGCCTGGGATCCAGGAATTTGTCTTTTAACGGGGGTGGGGTGGGGATAGGGAGGGTGCTCATTGAGGTTTGAGTATCTCAGATAAATGGTGGGCTCCATGCTGGTTCTCTCACATGTCAGGACAATGCTAAAGACCCCAAACAGAGCCCCCCTTCTCCAGCCAAGGTGCAGAGAAAAGATGGACGCAGGGTCTAAAATATGGTGCCCTGGAGGCAGAACACCTGAGAAGGTGAGCCAGCAGGCTGTTAGAAGAGAGTGGTTTGCCCAGAGGGACTTCAGTTGATATTTGTTGTTTTGTTTAAGAAAGACATGAGCCTCCAGCCAGCACAATAAAGGAAAAGAAAAGATACTGAATTAAAAGGCATTGTAAAGACTGAAATTGAGATAAACAACCTTCAGAGTTCACAAAATGTGAAATTGATATTCACTTGTTTGTAAAATTGTTTCAGAGTTCAAAAAAGATGTCCAGATTAAATGGTTTCCTTTCTTAAAGACTAACAGAATTAACTTTCTGATAGACTTGGGCAGTTTGGTCCAGTTACTTGCAGAAGGCAGGTTTCCGTGTCTCCTTTGTGCAGCCTCGAAGGGCCCAACAGAGGAAAAATAGTTTGTTACTTAATGAATGAAAGGCCTGGAGGTAGGGTATAGATTGAAACATTTAAAATTGTGCCTTGAGATCCTCAGGATTGCCAAATTCTTGGTCTTCCTCGAAAAACAGGTAGTTACTTTCAAAACTCTGGTGAGCCTCAGTTTACTCTAAACTTTTGATTTCTAATGGTTTTGCATGTCAGGACTGTCTTTGTTATGGAATGTTTTGTGTCTGTCTGACATGGGAGTAAGTTTAACAGTGAGATTATGTGAAGGGTTTGTTTTCTTGAACAACACACACACACACACACACACACACACACACACACGTGCTAAATCTGGGTTTGGGTTTGAATTTCTAGGACCAGTTGTGTATTCAACTCCGGTTAATTTTCCACTTAGCCTGTGTGGACATAGCCTTGGAAGGGAGTACAGGTATCATGACACACAGGTGCAGGAATTCCTGTTCGTTATCCGTTTCATCTTGTAACAGGGGTGCTGCCCACTGAAGCTACGTTCAAGAAATGATGCCCAGGTGGGTGAGCCCTTTGACACCTTGTAGGTTTGATCGTTTTCACAGACTTCAGGGTTTGCAGGACACTGAGGCTCTGTGACTGTTGTCACAGTCAGAGGCCTTGGGCTCATGCCCCGCCTACAGTGTTGATCTGTCCCAAAGCCATGCTGGGCGCTGCATTTTGCTTGAGCTTTTTTCTTTTTGAGGTCATTGAACTTTAGGGAAAGCACTTTTTTTTTCCCCCCCAGAAAACAAAGGAATAGGGAAGAAGAGAAAAGCAAAAACAACTGATGAGCTCTGATTGCAGAGGGAACTTCCAGGAAACAGCAGTTACCTCTTTATTAGGGAAAATCTCTTTGAATGACCCTGAGCTCTGTGCTTTAAGCGTGGATTCTGGCAGAAAGGAACGATCTTCTGCACTGGTGACACATTACAGCATTTGGTCATGTGGAAGGAATGATCTTCAGGAAAAATCACACCCAGCAAAGGATTTCTACAGAGGCTGGGGGAAGTGCGAGCCAGTTCTGCTGATGCTCCAGAGGGAAGGGAGCTCAGCAGACTAGTCACCATAGACTTACGTTTTTTTTCTTCCTCCCACATCTACTTGTATAACTGTCTTTTGGGGAGGGGTGAAGTAATATTAAGAAAACAACAGTACTTTGAAAAAAGGGGAGGCACAAGAAAGGGAGAAAGGGTTGGGAGGAGCCCCTGGGTGATGGGAGATGCATGAACATTGGGGGAGGCATTCTAGAGCCCGAGAGAACTAGTTGGTCTCTCCAGCCAGAGGCACTGGGAAAGCAAGAAGGGATTAGGGAGGTTTCAAGCGATAAAGTTGACTCATAAAATGCTACATTGGCTTAACACTCTACAGAGACCAAAGGAATCATTACAAACCCTCCCCAGTCATCAGGAGGCCCTTGATAGATTGAGAAAGATGCTCAGAGGTCAAGGGTCAGGGCCAGCATGAATACTGACTTGAAGCAATGGGGGTGAGTGCAGGGGATGGGGTCGCAGTCTTTATTTCTTGCAAAACCTGGAAGCCATGCAGTGGGTGCAGTGGGGAAAGGAGCTGGTGTCATGCACTTATGGGACCCCTGAGTGGGGCAGGAAGAACAGGGGTGGTTGATGGGCTCAGCAGTTGCGCGTAGAGCCACTTGCAAATCATTAGGAATCGGCTTCTCTCTAGAGAATTTACTTGAGAACTTAGATGTCCTTCAAATTGCTTGCACATGGGCTGAGGCTGTAGCTCAATGGTAGAGCACCTGCTCGGCATGCCTGATCCTGGTTTTGATCCCCAGCACCAAGAAACAAAACAAAAAATTAGTTACAAGTGCTCAACTGGGCTTGTTTTGTGCTTCTAAATCACAGGCAGTTCCGTGTCCAAGTTCACCACCCCGACATGCTGGTTTAAGTCCCCAGACTGTGCGTGTGTGTGGTGGGGGAAGCTGCCTTAAAACCCAGTGATGCAGTGCCTTCTTGGATCCCTTCCAAAGATGGTAGCAAGACGGGCAGCTGATCGCGATTTTTACCCTGGCAGCTGCTGCTCTAGGAAGGCTGTGCTGCTACATTAAGACACGGTTATTAAGTGTTTTGGGCACTGGCTGCTGGACCTGGACTGTTCCTGGTTCTAGGTGAGCAGCCAGTCAGTGTGGATGGAGGGCAGCAGTGGCCATGTTGCAGTGTGGGCTTTATTGGATCCCACCCCTCGGTGACTGAGAGAGACTGCATCTCTTCCAACTTTCCCTCCTTCCTCTCCCCGAGAGGAAGCCAGCACTTCCATCATGAAGTGTTAGGAAAATAGCTGTTACCCACCCCCAACTTGACTTCCTGATTCACTTTTGATCCCCAGCATCCAGCATGGTACCTGGCCAAAGGTGAGCACAGGAATGAATGAATGTATGATGGCTTGTGCTAACAGGCCTGGGGACATATTAGGTGTTTTCTCAGTGTCCCCTTCAGAGATCCGGTGACCCATTTTTAGGTCTCAAGGTCACTGCCAAGAAAAGGAAGCTGCTACAGTGACACCTCTGTGTATCCACATGACTCAACACAAAGGTTAACAAGAGCTCTTAGAATACCAGCCTCTCAAGTGTCTTGTCCCCTGTCTCCTTTGGGGAAGTGGCAGTGACATCAGATAAGGGCTAGGGCCATGTGACCTGCTGGTCCTTGGGCATCACTGTGGCTCAGAGGTCATTTAAAGCAGCTCTTTGCTTGTCAGGCAGGGCAGAAGGAATGATAGATGGAAGGGGATGATAAATACTACATTCGTCTACCGTGGGACATCTGAGAATTTTGGACACTGAAAGGGACACTGTAAAATTAACCCAAGGTGGATCAATGCAGAGAAAGCAACATCAGGGCAAGGAAATGCCATGGTCCCTAGGCATCTGACATGAGGTATTAAACTGCAGAAAGCAGGTGACTGGGGGGACCAGGAAGTTGAGGGGCCTAGCGGAAGGGGTTGTGTCCTGGAGGCGTCTTCCCAACAGGCAGGGCCAGGGACAGCAGGTCTTCTAGGCATACAGGAACAGTGCCCCACCGTGCTGATGAGGCCCTGATGCAAAGGCAGTGAGGTGGGATGGTTAGGAGCTAGACGTCTGTAAAATGGGATACCTATCTCTTCCTGGGCTATTCGAGAGGATTTGATGAGAAATCTGTGTTCAGTGTCACTGCATGTAGGAAAACTCCAAATGGTGATGGCAACAACTGTCACTCCCTGGTGGTCACCCAGCAGGCACTTGCCAGCAGATATTAGTAATCGAGTCTGGGTGACAGCTGAACACAAGAGTTGGCAAATCTGGCCCACTGCCTAGTTCTATAAAGTTTTATTGGAACACAGCCATGCTCATTCATTTACCTATTGGGCCACAATGGCAGAGTTGAGAAACAATGACAGAGACCTGTGGTTGATAAAGCTTAGTAGCCTTTTATACAAAAAAGGGCTTTTGTTATGGGGCCCTTGACAAA